CATGTGGGGGCAAGGTGCCCCCCTAACCCTGCTGACTGGGGAGAGCGGTGACTCCCCCAGTACTCTGAGGACGGGTTGACCCGCACCCCAACATCCGTAGGGCTGTAGGAGAGGATGAGTCCTCTGGTCCTTTTGGGAAGCACTGATGTCCCTGCAGAAGACTGCAGAGAGCATCTGGGGGGGGCTGTATGTGGCCCTCTCCCAGGGCTGACCCCCAGCTTTCACCCCCTAACCGAACCAGTGAGGGGTTCTTCATTGCTGCTGTCCCTCCGGGTGAGGGGGAGAGGGGATCCCCAACTTGGTGGGACTGAGTCCTGTGTATCTGTGGAACCCAACACCCCCAGCCCCAAAGGGGGGAGCAGGGAGGTGACAAATGCCCACAGCCCCCCCAGCAGAGCAGCTCCAAGTGGGTCTGGGCTGGGGTGACTTTAATATTCCCCCTCCCCGTATTTAGGGGTTTGAGGATGGAAGGTTTGGTTTGTGATCGCTGAGGCTGGGGGACATGTGGAGGGGGGGGGCAGGACTGGGCTGATGCTCCTGTTCCCCATGGCGGTGGGTATAATCCCAGTGCCCAGGCTGGGAAAGGGTAGGGACAGGACTGGGGGAACTGGGGGATGCGGACGGGGCTGGTGTGTGGGGCAGCAGAAGGAGGAGGTGAACCGGGCGGCCACCTTCATCCGGCTGCCTGTGTCCTTCCCCGGCTGAGCAGCGTGGGACAGCGGGGAGACGTCTCAGCCGCCGTTATCCATGGGCTGCGCCTACATCCAAGTCCGATTCACAAGCTGTCCTTGCTCTGCTGCTGGTCGGGGACCATATCTCCTGTCACCTGCAGGCACTCCGGGGTCTGCAGGCAGGGACTCATCAGCTGCATTAACCCCAAAACTTCATTTCTGAGCTGCGAGTCGTGGGTTTTCTCTGCTCCTTTCAAGTCCGAGGGTGGTGGAGCCCTCTCTGTCGCCAAGACAGGAGCGAGGCCTCACGCAGACCCCTCGGGCGCCGAGCCCCCTTCCCTGATTTCTGTAAAATCCAGGCAAACGCAGCGACGCGGCCCCTCGGCAGCGAGAGAGGGGCACGCAGGCTCCGAAAGCTCTTGCACCTGGAGCGGGTGAGGGCACCGGCGCAGCCTCCAGCGGGGGCTTCTGCAGGCAGGAGCAGCCCCCCCGAGGCTTATCCTCGTCTGACGGGGTGGAAATCGGATATCTGCATCCCGATCCATCCCAACTCCTCTTCTCTGGAGCTGGTAGTTTCACCTGTGGGTGCTTCTCCTCCCTCCGGTCTCCCAAATTTTACTCCGCTCTCTTTTTACACCATTTCCATCCGTTGCTGACTTCAGCACTTTACCCTCCAGTGTACAAAATCTACTTTGTTAAAAGAATTACTGTCCAAAACCTGCTCAAATCCCACCCGTCCCCAAGACTCAGGCTTTCCTGGTGCCTCGGTAATCTTTCTTGTTTATCCTGGGAGTAAAACTCCAGGCCGGCTCCACGAAATACCTTTACATCAAACCTGCACTGGTTTTTCCTTTGCTGGGATCCGGCCTGCGGTGAGTGGTTTTCTTCGCTTCTATATCGGGAGCCCAGGCGGACCGAAGTCCCTTCTGCTTTGCGTGGGCTTTAAAGAGGTCGCCGCATCCTCTGCCTGCAGGATGGCTTGCCCAGCTCTCCCGGCGTGTCTTGCTCCAGTTTCTATTTCAAGAGCACCCAGAAACCCAGCTCAGGGTTGAGGCCTCGATGGAGGCTGTTGTTTTGCCTCTCCTGCTGGGCTCCGCTCTTGTTCCCCTCCAGAGACGGCTGGATTTCGGTGGGGATGAGCCTCGTAGAGCTTTTGGTGGGTCTAGAGATGCAGGTTGTTACAGTCTGGGTATTGAAACGTCTATTTGGAGCTTGTTCCTGCCAAGGTGATGAATCGTTATGCTCTTTTGAGATCTCCGGTCTTCTTCTGGCCTGGCCGCGGGGTGGGGACGGACAGGTTCCCGGTGACCTGCTGGGGACCGTCAGTCGTCCCCAAACCTGTTCCTTCACATCATCCCTTTGAAGGCAAACCTAGCCCGAACTTCCTTATGCCTTTCCCCGGATGGTTGACTGGACTGGGAGAGGCTTTTGCAATCTTTACTTGGCGTCCGGACGTGCTTTGAGGAGCATGGCAGCTGCCTTGGGTCGGTGGTGTCCCCGTGGCTTGGGGACAGTTGGCGTAGAGGTGTCGCCTGAACCCCCGGCTGTGGGGAGGACGTGGCCACGGGGCTGCTCTGCCCACCCTTGCAACGGGGTGACCTTGGGAGCTGCTTTCGCTGCTTCCCTTTGGTCTGCCCTCAGAGGGTCCTCTCGTCCCTCCCGGCTGCGTGGACGTCACCCTGCCTTGCAGGAGGAGCACTGGCTGTGTGCACCCCAGTCTGACCCAGCACTGATTTCTTTTACGCCGGTAACTCCGTGCCTCGGTTTACCTCCAGCAGAGCAATTAGTGGCTCCGTGGGGGAGGATCTGCAAAACCAAAAGTGATAAATTAGGAGAAGCTGGACCCCTTTGCTGGGACCGGGACACGGTCCCGCACCCCCGACCTCTTTTTCTCTCACCCCAGACAAGTAACTTCTCTCCCTGTCTTTGCAAAAAACAAAACAAATGCTGAGCACACGGGTTTTATGTTTTTTAACTGCTTTCACCGGGATAATGGCAACCTAAACTAAAACCCCGGCTGCAGATTGTTCCTCTGTCCGGAAGGTTTTTCTTCGTACCCACCCCCTCTGAGCAAGAGCTCGATCGGGCATGATTTAGAGGTGCGGGGCCACTGTCTTATTCCAGAGCGGGCACGCAGTCGCCGTGGCAGTCATTGCCATTGCCAGGACCTGGCGAGGGCTCCCAGCAGATTGGTTTTAGATGCAGCAGTCATCCTCAGCGGAGCTGCTGTGTCTTCTCACTTCAGCAGTGACCTGTCACCTCCCAGCGAGCGGGCAGAGGTGACGTAGACTTCGCTCCCTGCCTGCGCACCCTGAAACGTGGGTGCCCCAAGCGAGTACAGCACCTCCGCAGGGCACCTCTGGCACTTTTGGGGTGGTTGGGGGCTTGCCCCCGTGTCGGCAGGAGCCTGTAGTGCTAATGGGAGGTTGGGTTGGGTTGTGTTGGGCTGGGATGGGTTGCGTTGGGTTGCAATGGGTTGTGTTGGGCTGGGATTTGTTGAGATGGGTTGCGATGGGTTGTGATGTGCTGGGATGGGTTGTGATGGGTTGTGATGTGCTGGGATGGGTTGTGATGGGTTGTGATGTGCTGGGATGGGTTGCGATGGGTTGCATTGGGTTCTGTTGGGCTGGAATTTGTTGAGATGGGTTGCGTTGGGCTGGGATGGGTTGCGATGGGTTGCGTTGGGTTGCGTTGGGTTGTGATGTGCTGGGATGGGTTG